CACAAGGAAGAAAAAGAAGAACTAGAATTGAGGTTATGTCTCATGATAGTCATGATTTGTTCAAGATACATCATAATATTAATGATTATATCAAAATTATTAGAGTATTCATTGAATATCTATTTCACAAAATGATTGCGAGAAGAACTTATTGCACAGAATTAAAAGATAACAATAACAAAAGGATGATAATCTCTGTTGATGACATTTCTCTCAGGTAGCAAGAAACAAAGGTGAGTAAATACTAAATAGAATCATTGATAGTACCGGACATGAAATATTGATACATTCATATACATTATTTATTGTTTCAGGAGGTTATTGAGAACACAAACTTGATGATATCATCATAGCAAACATGTTTTATTCCAAGATATCTTTGCTTCCTCAGAATCTATAAAATATTGTATGGAAGCTTGAACATTCAGTATGAATTCAATAAAGGTAGCTACCTGAATCAAATCATTGATATAGTAGGTACTGGACATGGAATGTTAATAGGTTAATTATTTGTTTCAGATGAAGTTATTGAGAACACAAGATTGATGATGTCATCAGAGCAAAGATGTTTCATTCCAAGATATTTTGGCTTCTTCGAAATCTATGTGAGATTGTATGCATGTTTGCACTTTCAGTATATTCAATAAAGGTATAGGTACCTGAATCAAATCATTGATATAGTAGGTACTGGAACATGAAATATTAATAGGTACATTATTTGTTTCAGGAGGTTATTGATAACACAAAATGATGATATCATCAGAGCAGAGATATTTTATTCCAAGATATTTTGGCTTTTTCAATTATGAAAGATTGTACATAATGCAGACTTGAACTTTCAGTAGATTCAATAATGGTTGGTACCTTACTACATAAATCATATCATTGATAGTAAGTACTGGACATGAAATATTAATACATTGTTTGTTTCAGATAGTTTTGCTTCTTCAGAATCTATAAAATATTGCATGAAGGCTTCAACTTCCAGTTGATTCTGCATCAGGAATGTCCAGAGTTCAGAAATCAAAAACAACATGGAGAAATATAACTACCAATAGGCAATAACTTCTAGTAGTGCTCAACAAGAAGCTGAAATACATTTCTTCAAAAAGGAAATTGAAATTTTTCAGAATAAGTTATAAATAATAGAATGTAAGTTTTTCATTTGGTTTTTCATTTGAACCTATTATAAATAGAGGAAAATTTTGCAAAT